CCCGGCAGATAACCCAGCGCTCTGTCCGCCGCCACGTTCGCTCTATGGCGGCACTCTCTTTCATACATAGCTGACATTTACCACCTCCCATATCCACCCTCTCTCATATTACGCGTTGAAATAGCCCTCGTCCCCCGACGAAGGCGCAGCAGGACGTAATAGCATTCTCGGGGAATTACTTATACCCTCCTGTGACCACCACTCATCGCGGCCAAGTTTCTCTCTTTCCACGGGCGCTCTCCTGATAAAGTCTCGCCTTGTTAAGGGCCGCGTTCGTCGCCCTTCCCCTTTCGCACCCCTCCCCCCTTCGGACGACGGGTGAAAATAATCAAAAATAAAGCTCGCGTGACACCGTTTAAGTCGGCGAGCAATTCTCTCGGCCACCTTTACTCCTTCGTTTGAAAGCTCGCGCGATTACGCCACGACGGAGATTGATATCATCTCGGTTTGCTCTGAATGTATTAATTGTTTATATTAATGTTGTTACGTATTACAGCCCGAATCGAAATTTTCGCCCTGCGTTAAACATTTAATTCTACAACACAGCGGGAGCTAAGACAGCAAAATAGGTTCAAATTCAATTCTAATAAAATAACTTCTACTTTCTTCACGTTGATGGCGCCTTAAGTTTCTTCCCTCCGCTGTTTCAGCGTTAACATAGGTTGCCGAAGGCAGCGTTAAAATTCAATCTGTAGAATTGGGGGTTCAAGAGAGAGGTTAAAACGTGTCGGTGTCGTTGAAGCAGGTTTTTATTAGCCTATAGGCTGTCTAAATGGGCGCAAGCTGTCCTCAAGATCGTCGGAGTGGCGTTGAAATTTCGAACTCGGGAAAAACCGGTTTCTCGCGAATCGTCGAGCCGACATAGTAATTTTATAGTCCACCTCACGACGACTTGTTCAACAATTTTCACTACATTCTGAACGGACGAATCGTATGTTCCCGGTCGTACGATTTCCCCGAACGCTCCGCGTTGGAGAAAAGTGCGGCGCTCGGGGTAAGATGAGTTTCGCTCGTTAAAAATTTCATCTCGACCGGCTGTAATACCCGTCCATCCACGCTCACGATATCATGGATGTAGGAATATATGAATGGAGCGTAAGCGGAATTTATAGGCAAGAGGGATGAAGCCGATTTGAGGGACGAGGTATCTCTAAAACTGTGCCTGGATTTGATTTTTTACCCCGGTCCCCTCTGTTTGTGGCTTCATCCCTCTGGGATTACACCCCATCCATATATTCCTAAATCCATGCACGATATACGGATGATGGCGCGACGGAGGAGAAGAATCCTCAGGCAAACGCGAAAGTGATAGAAATGCGTGACTTCAGATTGTAATCCTTCTAATAAGGTTGGGGGGCAATAACGTCGTTACGGCTTTCACGCGAATGGCCAGGCGCATATATCACGTGATCCGCCATCAAGTACGTCCCAACGGCATTACGTAATTGCAACGGCACGTTTATATAACGGAATATTACAAGTTACATAACGCGGCCGGCATAATATATATTCTAATAAGCGCTAGAGCGCGCGCCCTCGCACACACATATATCTATGTGTGAGCGCGCGTTGCATGCACAAAGTAAATTTCATCGTTATTGAATTGCCGCTTGTAATAAAAACGCCCACGGCGCCATGCGAGAGCGTGTCACACCGATGGTCGCTCGATTCACTCGAAATGCAGAAGGTGAAAACCATTTTCCCCCAATTTATTCTCTCGTCCGCGCGGGAAACGTGGTTTTTTTCCGCCTCTCCCTCCGCCCCTCCTCCTCCTCCCGATCCGCGTCAAATCCCGTTTGTAATTACGAACACTTCTTTACATAAATTCAAACGACACGAAGGAGGGAGGGGAGTCGTCCGTCCGTTTGTGAATATTTTATCTCCTCGGCGCTCGGCGCTTCATTGTGCGCTTCATTTGTTGCGCTTATTAAATATCGCCGGCAAATATTAGCGCGCGCGCGCACAATGGGCCCGTGGACGGGAACGACACAATGCGAAAACGACGCGTCGAATTTGCGATACACGCTTCATTTATTCTTTTATCGCGCAGCGACTCGATGCAGCCGAGCGCGCTACTACATTGACGATCCTTAAAACAGCGGGGGAGAGCGGATTCGAAGGAGATTCGAGCTACGTCGGATTACGTTGAGGGGAACATCGTAATACTTTCTCTTTATTAAGGACTCTCTATCTCGTTACATGTTGCACATAAACACCGGTCCTGTCCGGATCTCCGGGGTATACCGTAACGGCGGCGTCGTTGGGGTTAGGGAAATCGTTAGAAAAATAGATGAGCCGTGTCTACACGCAGTTTGTTATTCATCATCATCATCGTCGTCGTCATCAGCGAGCTTACGTCCCGAAAGTGTGTCCGCACGTTTGTATCTCGCGCTCTGTGTGAGAGTATCTATTTAGGCGGCGAGACTCGTCGTAAACGAAGCTTCTAACGGGCGCGACTACGAGCAGTCGATAACACTCCGATAAATCCACCGGTCGCGCGATAAAAGCGCGATGCATCTTCCGCTTTTCTCCCGCGGCGCGCGTGTTTCTCTCCCCCCCGGCGAGATGTCGCGAGGGAAATTAGGAGGGGGAGTGGTGGCGAAGTGCGGAACGACAAATTCCTCGTTAAGTTCACCCGGCGATCTTTCCCACCGACGAGAGAAACGGGAACGACGGGGATTTACGGTTCGTAAATAAACGAGACACACACGCACGCGCGCACACACACACACACACTTTCGCGATTTTCTCTCCTCGTCGTGCCCGTCGTCGTCGACGACGAGGGGCCACGCTCCCGGTCGCATTTTCAGCCTGTCGTCGACCGGGTCCTCGCTTGTTACCGGCGGATTATTCTCTCTCTCTCTCTCTCTCCCCCTTTCTCTCTCGCGGTGTAAACGACCCGCGGTGCGTTAAGATAAAAATGTTAGTCGCGTGACTGGGCCGCGAAAGTGGGCGATACTGATAGGAACGGTAATTTCATATATTATTGCGCTTGATACGGCGGCGCTGACCTTTCCGCCGGCGGAAAAATATAGGAACCTTCACTGCGGGTTGGGGGGGTTAGGAGTCAAGTCGACCCGCGAACCGGCACGGTGTGCCGCGCATCCCGAGGAACGACCGGTGCGCCCGGTCGTGCGCGACAACACGCGGTCTCTTCTCGCGAGCGTTTTACGCTCGAGACGCTCCGTCGGTCCTCGGCGTCCCCCCCGCGTCTGGAGGGGAGGGGAGGACGCGCAACTGGGAATTTATACGTCGCGTTCATTTCTCTTCATTCGCGTCCTCGCGCGAAATTGAACGGGGCGAAATCGAACGCGTCGGGAGTGCTGCGATTAATTCTAATCCCAAGAGAAAGGTTAACCCTAGGATGACGAGACTCATGCACGTCTCACGTGTAACAAGGCGGGTCGGATCCGACCGGTAGAAGCATTTTGCAATTTTCCCAAGTAATCTTCCCGGCTAGGCTACTTTCTGTTCTCACAATTAGTTGGAAAATACTTAAAGGTGAGATATATCGCAAAATATGTGAGATATCTGAAATAATGTGAAATAACGCAGCACAAGCGCGTGCGCGTAAAGAATACGAATCCCGGGATGGTCGGATACGACCCAACCCCTTGTTATTCGAGGGTTAACGTTAATTAATTTCACCAAATTCTGAGAGGCCTCTGCGTCAACAGTCGTTACTTGAAACTTGTCTTCAATGAGAATATTCGGATTCAGAGTTCGAGTTTTCCAGTCGTCACGTATGACACGTATGACGTTGTGCGTTTGTGTAATTGCGATTTACCTGGAAAACTTAGATCTGATTTCGATCCGAGTGTATCACGTGAGACAATTTCTAACTAGCGACTATTAAGTAATACGGGCCGGAATCCTTTCGCGTGATTCCTGTCTCAACCCCTTGCGTTGCCGCCGATCAAATGTGACTTAGCCTTGCGATTCTGTAAGGAGAGTACTTGACAAAATTCTGCGAAATTCTGTGAACTATGTGTAAGTCGAATTGGGACGTATTTCTTCCTTCTCGAGCGTGAATTTAAGTACACGCGTGTACGCAATATACGAGTCCGCCGATTAACACGACGTCGCGAGGGGTTAAAGACAGGCGTACGAACGGTCGAGGTCGTCCTTCCGCCGGACGTCGCCGCGAAGAAGGACCGACGGAGGGTTGAAATCATGCCGAAATCGGCCGAGATGATTCCATCCTTGCCGTCACCAGTTCGAATTTCGATCGAGGTAGTAGTATCTCTGCGTTTTGTAGCGTCGGGTCGCCTCGTGTCCTCGCGACGGCCTCCCTCGATTCGTCGCGCTATCGATCGCGCGCCGGCCGCCGAAGAATTCGGGGGTGTGGGCGGGCGGGCGCGGGACGTGTCAGTTTCTTTGCGGTTTTATTACACGGCTCGCCGGAGGTGGCAATTTGTTGAAGCCCGCGTTGTCAAAGACCGGAAGTAGGTCCCTCACTCTTTGTCCCGCGCCGATCGACGCCAGCTCGATCCATCTGCAATGGCGAAACACGTGAAAGGGCTCCCTCTCTCTCTCTCTCCCTCTACTCTCTCCTCCTTTCTTTTCTTTTTTTTTTCCGCCTCTTTTCGGAACGTTTCTCCCTAATGCCCGCCAACCTTTTGTGTTTTATTGGCAATGTTCCATTAAAGATATTACGGCAAAGTAGAGAAGAGCGGATCGCGCGCGCGCGCAATCCGCTCGTCATTTCCCCGCGAGTGTTGCAGCGAAATTATTAATACCAATACCGCTTCGTCTCTTCGGATCTCGGGATTTAAACCTTCGATAATAACGAATCGCGATAAAGAAATGAAAATAAAAATAAGTCGACTCAACGTAGAACGAAAATTTCGATTTGGCACCAACTGTGCATCCGCGTCAGCTGACGAGTAAGACGAGTCGGACGAACGAACGTTCGTTTCGTCGAGCAGCGCGCGCTTCCGCGCAGCGTGTCGTGCGAAATCAGCCCCGATGCAAAATCCGATCGCACCGCACGTTGCCGAATTAACGACTAGCAATCCCTGTATGATTCGGAAGTAACGTACGTTTAAACAAGCAGCGCGCGCGTTATTTGGGAATTGTCGGCGCGATCTCACGCGCGCGAACGATAGTTAATAAATAACGGCGCGATATCGAGGGCCGCCGCCGCGTAATTTTTAACACGGCCGCGAATTTGCCGTCCGATGAATCACACACGCGCGGAAAGTACACACGAATTCACTTCCCACCTGTTGTTTTTGTATTTGGCGAGGGGTTGAGCGGCTGGATGGGGCGTTTCGGTGGGGAAATATGTGGCCCCATAAAAATCCAAACCACGGCTCAGCAGCATCGAGGTCTCCTCCACGCTGGCCAGGGTAACCCTTATAACGGGTGGCCCCGTATAAATCGTCGCCGGCTCGTTCAGATTCTGCGCGTCGCTCTTTAGCTTGTCATTGATGGCCTTCACTGATTTATTTAACACACACGCGCGCACACATACATCATTTTGTCGCATGCGTCGAGAAAGGCGTCGGGTGAGAGCGCGCGCGTCAAGTGCGGAAAGTAATAGCGCCCTTAATGTGTGTGTATGAGCGGACACGCGACTGCACGTCAAACACAATATCAACTGGGAAATTTATTATTGACGTTGCGTTAAAACACAAAGCGAGAGGGAGAGAGAGAGAGGGTGTGTAATTGTCGGAATCGTTCAATGCCCAACGACGTCGGGCGAGTAATTAAACCGAGGCGCTTTTCCGAAAAATGACGCGCGCGCGTGTGGGGCGTTTTGAAAAGTCACGAGAGAAGAGAATGAGAGAGTAGCCAATCCGTCGGCACTGTGCGTACTTGCGGGAAGCTGGGACTTTCCTCTTTCTTTCTCTTTCTCTTTCGTGGAAATAAATACGGGAATGAGGAGCGCGGAGAGAAGAAGCATTTGCATTTTCGTGACTCACAAACAGTTCCCGTATTGAGGGGTAGCCTGGTTACTTCGACGATAGATCGATATTTGTAGAGAGCGTGCCTGATATCGTCCTCCGGCAGCTCCTCGGGCACGTCCAGCACGTAGACGGTGAAGATCTTAGCTGGTCTACACGGTATTGCGACCTGCATTGCAAATTATAATATAGTTTCGCTCCCTCTCTCTCTCTCTCTCTCTCTCTCTCTCTTCTTACTAGACGTGCGTAAGAAAAATAAAAATTTACTCCGCAGAAAGGTAGTACGAGATCGAGGAAAACATTGCCGTAATATACAATCCCATGCAGAGAGTCGTAACAAGTTCTGAGATATTCGTGTGCGCAGTCTCACGAGAACTCACGTTCCTCTTAAATCTCATCTTGAAGAAGAAGCCGAGAGACTCGATCACGCGCGCGCGTTTTAGACAGTCAGTTCCGGCTATCTCGAGTACGATCTGGGTATCTGAGTCTTCCAAATATTACCCGGATATTCTCCAAATTACTCGGACACCCGAGCATCCAGTTATTTATTCTCCCTGTTATTTCTTCTTACTTATTTTTCAAGTCATTTTGTCCATCGAAACACGAGTATTAAAGACAGCAATCAGTAGAGTGAATGCTGTGCGAAAGAGTTTTAACATCGGAATACGTTGAATTAAATATGAAATATCTGGTAAAACATTTACTTCTTGTTAATCTTATCCTGATCTTTTCACACACAGATTGACGAGGAAAATATATTTTTGTAAAGAAAAGGAAAATATAATTCCGTTAAAAAAGGTTTTCTTTCAGGGTATTTGAATATCCTGGCAATACACGGAAATAAAATTAATATCAATTCGAGATTCGTATTCTTATATATAAGCAAAAATATATAATTTTATATGAAAATGAACTGATACAATTCTCATTGTTTTTCTTTCAAACTGATACAATTCTTAGTTTAAAGACATCGTTCTTTCTATCCAATATTTTTTCCTCTCAATTCGTGAAAATTATTCTTGAATAACAAGAATATGATATCTTTAATACGATATTTTTATAACACTGTATAAAATTTCCTCGTGTGTAAACGAGTTTTATTTGCATATAAGATTATATATTTTTTCTTTTCTATACGAGAACGTATTATGAGTCTTGAATTGATACTAATTTTTTTGCCGCGTACCTTCGAATTTGAGAACGGAAAGATTCGGTTTATATTGACAGCATCACTATTTAAACTCGCCGAAATCGTTTCCACGGAGCTCGGAAATAAAATGAGAATCCGCGCGCCAGCGATTTTGGCGTAATTTAACGTGGCTCGCGACTAATGTTATGCAACGCGTTGTGTCGGTCGCGATGATCAAACTAGAGGGTAGGTGAATGTGGAAACAAGTTGGGGCAAATTGCTATCAAGATATTCCTGTTGTCTTTTGAGCGGCTAAAATGCCCTTTGTAACCGGCGTTGCGTATTCGCAACATGTGCTCGTGCCACCGAGATGTGGAACCCATGCAGATCCCGAGATTAGTTGCAGAAGCACTGCGAGGTATTTCTCTGCATCACGCACTTTGACTCCGGTAAGGTTAGCCGAGCAACCGTGTAACGTAATTCAACACCACCTATGTAAAGTCCACGGATAGCGATGTTACATTGTAACTGCAACGTGTTGAGAACTTCTCTTCGACTTGGAAGATCGTATTATGCACGTTCCAAAGAAAAAAATAAAATAAAATAAAACTGTTGAATCTTTACCGATAATTGTGTTCTATACTATTTCCAGCACGTCCGAGTCGGACGATCCGACGTGATCGAGGTCGCTACAAAGAGAAAAAGATTTCTTTGAATTTAAGAAAATCCCTTTAATTGAAACAAATTTGTCTTCTAGAGTGGAGCAAACGGACGAATGTTTGATTCAACAAACGGAATTGTTTGGTTTCTCAAACAATAAATATCTTTATGTCAAATATTACTTTTGTACTTTCATCCATCCAAACATTATAACAATTATCACTAGCGATAAATTATTTGAATGAAGTAACTACGTTAGAAAAATATCCAAGAACTTTGTTTCAGTGGAAAAATATTTAATATATAATGAAATAAATTTCTTTTCTAACGAGAAAATTTCTCTTCAAAACGAGATATTATTTCTTCTAAATAATGCCGTTTTTAATAACGTGATATCTGCACCGGAAAGATCGAGTTAAAAAGCCGGGTCTCAATATTACGTGAGTATTATTGCACGAACTGCAATCGGGTCAGATTGAAGGAAAAGTCAAGCCGCATCGACAATCCAATGTAGGGATTTCAGTCAGGAAATTTAGCCAGTAGTAAAAACTTAACAAAACTGGAGCGTGGTTATTTATATGATATAGATATTCTTTCAACTATCAAAAAGTTGATCCCAATAATATATATAATATGAGTAATTCTACTTCTGGAAGTGGAAGTTTCAGTTATTAAATTAGACGACAAATGCGATCGATAATATGTTCGGTCAGCTCCGATCGCCTGGTAGAATTAAATCTTCGGTTTGCTTCATACAAGCAAGAAATTAAGGGAACACACAAAAAATTTTGCTGGAAGAAGCGGGGGCAGTTAGTTCGCCGTAGACAACTCGGAAATTGAGTTCGCCTAACTCGATTCGGGTTGTTTCATCTTTTTTTTTTTCTATACCGTACCTTCTTGTAAAAGCGAGCACCCGTCACTTTGTGGAAACCCTTTTTATACACCGCCTGGTAGTCGTCGATATTGCTGAACTTGAAGAGAATTCCGGTGGCGGTTTTCGTCAGGGAAAATGCGCCCCTAAATCATACAATACAGAGATGAGAGAGTCGTTTTCACTGTATAATCCGGGGTCGTTATGTAAATCGCTGAAAGAGAGATAAGAGAACGCGTGCGGGATTGAAGCCCGACGCGCGAAAGACGCACGAATCTCGTCGTGTCTCCATATATGACGGAATAATTCTGCGATTAAAAGTCAGCCCGCCGTACAGTTTCGACGTTAACTCATTAGAGAGGCCATAATCATTTCATGAATGTCTTTTTTACTTAACCCTTGCTCGCCACATTTCGGCCTGGTAGATAAGCTGAACGTTCTTCGATTTTCTAGTTTTTACATGGTATACTATTTTCTTTTTTCTTAAAGTATCGGGTATCCGTTACGATGGACGAACATACATTTTTTTTCTTAAATCATATTTGCAGAGCCATTTGAGAATTTTTTTTTTTCCGAGAACGCTCTTTTTCGTGTAATAATAAGAGTTTAGTTCGAACCCAATCATTTTCTTGACCTGACAATACATAAATATCTTATTCAGACTCTGTATTATCGATTCTCAAGTTGCGAGCTGAAAAATATTAATTAGAAAATGACAATGTGATAAATTCGAGCAGTCTCACGGGCGGGTGTGTGGCGAATTAAAGAATTCGAAAATAAGTATGGCCAGCCAGAATTAACGATTAGCCTGTTTATTTCCCGGACGATTTCAGATTAGCATTTTTAGAACTTTTATTAAAGATATATACATACACATCTGAAACTTCACTGCAGATCCAAATGTATCATTTTGCACACTCGCGTACGTACAAGCGTTCTATCTCTTTTTACATATTTTGCGCGTTATCGATATGATTTTACACGCATAAGTGTGTAAAATTTCATATTCGGATTTGCGGTGTGCCGGATGCTGTACGAGGACATAAAAATAAAACCGAATTTAACCGGTCAATTGTGTCGTCGATCAAGTAAGTAATTATTAATCAGTCACGTATCAAAGTCATGTATCATTAATTAGTTGATTCAATCGGTCGTTGATCATTAATCGGGCGATTTTATCCGATAAAAAGGCGCGTCCGATAAACAGGACGCAACAGCAGCTGATTTAATCGCGAATGAGTTCCCGGCCGTTACCGTTAACTACCGCTGCCACTACTGCGCGCGCTTCGTTGTCGATGCGCAAAAAAGTTCGCCCGGTCCGACACACGGCTGTGTTTAATGGATTTGTCGTCTGACCTGTTACTGCCTCTACTACTACTGCGCGTCGCGCGGCACACCGCCGCTGACTTAACTACTTTTAGATCCGATTCGGTGCTTTAGGATCCTCCCGCTCGGATTAAACACCGAACGAAGCGACGTTAAGCGACACGGTTAACGCGTAAGCGGAGCGATCGGCGCGGATATTCCCGTGAAACGCGTCGTCTCTGCTTCCGTGCATTCCGCATTGTAACTTCACTTCGACAAACGATCGTTACGCAGTCTGAAAGGATAAAGGGGGAGGCGGATGACCGGCGATCTCCGCGACAGTCGATTTAACCCCTCGCCATCGGCGAGCCCGCAGAATATATATGGGAATATATACCATTCGTCGGATTATTTTCGCCGAATCTGCAAGTGATTTTTTCGACGATTTTGTCATTGCGGAACAATAAAAGAGGTCAAATCGGACTTTTGATTGGCGTGAACGTTCGATTCGCGGACGCTGAACGCGATCTCGCGAGGCCTCGTGGAGCGCGTCGCTCCGGGGCGAGGAACTTCGCGGTATAATCTCGAGTATAAACGGGCGCGAGCCGCGGGCTACCGACGTCGGCGGATCGCCGACACCTCGTCGGAGTTCATCACAGTTATCGATCGAACGGTCGGGAATCGCGAGTCGCGCGACCCGGAGAAGAAGAAACCGACGACGCGGACGGAAGGAAAGTCTCTCTCTCTCTCTCTCACCGGAAGTTCATCTTCTCGCAGATGGTGGCGGCCTTCTCCATGCTGAGCTCGTGACTCGGGGTGAGCAGGAAGGCGCCCTTGGTGAGGAAGTCGTTCTCGCTGACCTCCGAGTCGGTGTCGTGGTCCGGCCAATCGGCGGAGCCGCGCCTGCCCTCCTGGTTCAGGCGCAACATCGAGCTGCTCTTGGACGTCGACATGTCCTTCTCGCACTGCGCACTGCCGCCCTGTTCCGGCTGCGACATCTTTTATAGGGCGTCGCGGACCAGCGGACGTGGAGAGCGATCGTGATCTCACCCGCTCGCTCGTACAGGGAACGGTCGGCCTCCCTCCCCCCCCCCC